TGCCACCGGTTTCCCGTTGACTTTCCAGTCCCAGGAACCGGTCACCACCGAGAGAGTCGTCGCACCCGAGGGTGAGTGGATGCTTCCTCCCCCCGCGAGGGTCCCGAGTGGGGTTAAGGCATTATTACCTTGCAAAGAAGGGGTTAAGGGTGGGCTTGTCCCCTTCTGGGTGGGAGTGGGAGGTGGGACACGCTCTGTGGTTGTCTAACCACCAGCTTCATGGTTCATAAAATACTCGGGGGGGTGCCTGGGGTGAATATTTGGGAGTTATTAAGGCTGTTTGCAGCTGGCAGGGTGGGGGGGTGACCCTGCCCGTGCCCCAAAAACCACACGGAAGGGTGTGGGAGGCTGGAGACACCCCAGAAAGCCACTGCAGAAATAGCACCGAAGGGGAGAAAACTTCTCTTTCTTTCCCAATTAGAAGTTTTTTTCCACTTTTTGCACGAATGTAGGAAATACTTGGGGTGCTCTAAAAGTACCTGGGGTGTTCCCTGTGGCTGATCCTCCGTGGGGTCGGTGAGAGCTCAGGGAGCTGCTGGGGAGACATGGAGTGAGTTTAATTTTGGCAGCCCAAAGGGTGTTGGAAACCCACCTTTGAGGCACTACCCAAGGGCAGAGCTGCCCCGGGGGTTGCAAGTGGGAGAAAAACCCTTCCCGTGCCCCCAGCAGCCGATAAACAACCCCATTTCCAGGGGCAGAGATGTCCAAGAGTGACACCACTGCAGTGACAGGGAGAGGAGGGGGTGACCACCTGGCTCCGAGCTCGGTGACAGCAGGAATAGTGGCTTATTTTCAAGAATTTGGTTACAAATATCAAATTCCCCCCTCCCCCCCAGTCCCTGCAGGGAGACTCCTGCCGCGCCGTCCCTCCAGGGCTCAGGCAATAAAAAAATCTGTGCAAGGGAGAAAAATCGCTCCAGGGGGAAGATTTGGGGCCGTGCCCCATAGGAGTGGGTATTGCCCCATGTTGGAGCACCCCAAGTCATCACAGTGGCTCAATCAAAGCCCACCCAGTTGGATCCAGCCCTGGGGAGTCTGCAGGAGCTCTGTGACCCCCCCAAAGCTTCACCCCAAGAACAAACGGCCAACCCAAGGGCTTAAAAATACCCCAGAAGGTAAATAAGAGCTTTGGGAGACACGGGTTGTTCAAACAGCAGGAGCTGCTGGTTGAAAGAGCGGCTTAAAAACCAGGGGGTGGGGTGAGGAGGCTGGGTGTCTGCTGGTTGTGGAAAATTTGTGCGTGGGGGGGTTGTTATTCCTCGGGCAGCGCGGCCAGATTTGCCCTGACCTTTGTGTCTCCGAGTGTTTCTTTCAGAGACAATTCTCCTTCTCTGCTTTCAATTTGGAATTTTCCTTTTCTTTCCCCGTTTCTGCCTCTCCCTTCTTTTTTTCTTTTTTTTTTATTTTTTAATTTTTTTTTTCCCTGTCCTCTTCTGAATGCTCCCTTTGACGGGAGGAATCCAGCTGTCCCAGGGCAGGTCTGCGGCGGCGTTTGGCCCAGCTGTGGACTCACAAAACTCGTCAAGCAGCTTTTATCCCCTGTCCCAGAATGGCTGGTGGCACGTGTGTCCCTCCTGCTGTCCCCTCCAGCCCACGTGGGGCCAGCAGGGTTGCGTGGGGGGAGACCCCCACCCATGGGTGCCACCCTGCTCCCACCTGCTGCAAATGTGTTGTGGGGTGGCTGCGTGTCTCCCGATGCCTTCTGCTGGTTTTCCAGCCACTTCATGTTTTATTGAAATCTTCTCTGGGATGATCTTGTCCTGCTTTGGACTCGATGATCTCCAAAGGTCCCTTCCAACCCCCACCGTTCTGGGGTTCTGGAGGGCCACAAAGATGCTCAGGGGCTGGAGCATCTCTGTGATGAGGAAAGGCTGAGAGACCTGGGGTGGTTCAGCTGGAGAAGAGAAGGCTGAGAGGGGACCTCATCGATGCTGAGCAGTAGCTAAAGGGTGGGTGTCAGGAGGATGGGGCCAGACTCTTCTCCGTGGTGCCCGGTGACAGGACAAGGGACAACAGACACAAACTTGACCATAAGAAGTTCCACCTAAACATGAGGAGGAACTTCTTCACTTTGAGGGTGGCAGAGCCCTGGAAGAGGCTGCCCAGAAAGGTGGTGGAGTCTCCTTCTCTGGACACATTCAAACCCCACCTGGACACGTTCCTGTGCAACCTGCTCTGGGTGGACCTGCCCTGGCAGGAGGATGGAGGACATCATCTCCAGAGGTCCCTTCCCACCCCTGCCGGTCTGGGATTCTGTGATGGTGCCTCGGGGAGGGGGAAGTGGGTAACACCAGCCACTCTGCAGGACATAAACCACTGTGGGGGTGTGGGTGTCACCCAGAGGTCCTGCACAGCCAGCTGGCACCCCACAACTGGGGCAGGGAGGTGACCCTGTGTCTGCTGGAGGCAGAAAGAACACCTCACCTCCTGCTCTTTGGGGTTTTTTCCTTTATAAAAGGTGTTTTGAGGCTGGAATAAATCTTCCTGACCGGGGAGCACAGCAGACCTGGCACGGCACCCCGCAACTGGGGCAGGGAGGTGACCCTGTGGCTGCTGGAGGCAGAAAGAACACCTCACCCCACTGCCCTTTGGGTTTTTTTCCTTTATAAAAGATGTTTTGAGGCTGGAATAAATGTTCCTGACCGGGGAGCACAGCAGACCTGGCACAGGTGGGGGTTTTGGGGGGTATTTTGAGGGATTTTTGGGGTTTTTTTTTTTGGCTCAAACGCAGAGCTCCACACCGAGCTTCATGGAGGATGTGAAGGTCCTTGCCTGGTTTGTGGTGCCACATGAGCAAAGAGCAAAAACCCACCACAAACCCCTCCAGAGGCTGGAGGGAGCCGAGGGCTCTGGGGGCAGAGCAGCCCCAGGTCCCCACTGCAGACCTGGCACAGGTGGGGGTTTTTTGGGGTATTTTGAGGGATTTTTTGGTTGGGTTTTTTTTGGCTCAAACGCAGAGCTCCACACCGAGCTTCGTGGAGGATGTGAAGGTCCTTGCCTGGTTTGTGGTGCCATGTGAGCAAAGAGCAAAAACCCACCACAAACCCCTCCAGAGGCTGGAGGGAGCCGAGGGCTCTGGGGGCAGAGCAGCCCCAGGTCCCCACCGTCCCCTGTCCCCTCCCTGCTTGGCACCAGCAGCGTTGGAAGGTCACCCATGGTGTTACATCAACATCAGCCCCGCAGTGGTCCATGTCATCCCGGGGGGGGGGGGGGGGGAATTTGGGCTGGATTCACCCCCAGAGCCGCTCCTGGTGGTGACCCCTGGTTTCTCCTCACAGGTCTCAGAGAAGAGTTTGTTCTGCAGCACCAGAGCCCAGCAGGTATGTGATGGGGACCTACCACTTTCCAGCCCGTTGCTGCTACAAACTGTAACTCTTTCCCCAAAATCCCTATTATTTTTTTGGATGCTGCACGTTAAAAATGACCTAATCATCTTTTTTTTTTTTTTTTTCTTCTAGGAAAAAATGTCAGACGGTTTCTCCGTAAGTACAGCTTGTTTTACAAAAAAAAAAACCACCCAGTGGGGGCTGTGATTGTTTCATTGCCTTGAAGTGGGGACCTTTGGCCGGGGTGGGAGCGCGGCGTCACCAACCTGCCGACTCCCCAGATTACACCAGTGCTTACTGGTTTTCTGGAACCCTCAGCCCTGGCCCTCAAGTGAGGAGCCGCTGGACTTACGGCCATGAAAACCTGGGTGTTGGAGGACTTGACCTGTCCCCAGGGCTGGTGTCACCCCCCCCTAACCCTCCTCCTCTCCCCTCTGTCCCCAGTTATCCGACGCCTTGGCCACCGGCAACAACCCCAACCCCTCTGCCCCCCAGCCCCAAGGCTGGCCCTCTTGGGGGAACCAGCCTCCAGCTCCTGGGGGCTTCCCAGGCTATCCTGGTCCTCCAGGGGCTTATCCCGGCGCCCCGGCAGCACCAGGAGGATACCCTGGAGCACCAGGAGGATACCCTGGAGCACCGGGAGCATATCCTGGAGCACCAGGAGCATATCCTGGAGCACCAGGGCCATATCCAGGAGGACCAGCAGGACCAGGAGCATATCCAGGAGCACCAGCGGGACCAAGCCCGCAACCCATCCCAGGACAACCGCCCAGTGGCCCTGGATTTGGGACACCCACTCCACACGGGGGACAGGCCCCTCCCATGGTAAGGACTCCATCCTACTATAAGGGTTTCTGGGTCTTTCACTGCCTTGATTTTGGCTTGGCCACAGGAGGGACCTGAGGATGGTGGTCACCATGACCACCATGGGTGGTCACCATGTTATGGGGCTGCCCCGGTGTGTTGTCCCATCGGAGGTGGTTTTCTGCTGATGCCAAATCTCCTGTTGTCTCCTAGAAAGTGCCCTTTGAGATGCCCCTGCAGGGAGGACTCGTCCCTCGGCTCCTCATAACCATCACGGGGGTTGTCAACCCCAACCCAAACAGGTACCGAGGCTGGGAGGGGGTTCCGTAGAGGGGTCCATCCTGCTGGAAGCAAGTTCTAGCCCCTGAATAATACCCACCTGATGTAAAATCAAATATTACGCTAAAAAAAGGTGTAAATCGCCCAAAGGGCTCTATATTTGGGGTTTTTTTCCTGCCCACTCGCTGCTGGTTTTTAGGAAGCAGAGCCTGAGGCTTTTGCAGGAAAAGCAGTGGATCCATTGTTGCCGTTGCAGGTTTTCCTTGGATTTCAAGAGAGGGAACGACGTCGCCTTCCACTTCAACCCCCGCTTCAAGGAGGACAACAGGAAAGTCATCGTCTGTAATTCCATGTTCCAGAATAACTGGGGAAAGGAGGAGAGGACGGCTCCGAGGTTTCCATTTGAAGCTGGAAAACCCTTCAAGGTAACAAACAAACCACTTGAAACTCAGTTTTAATGGAGTTTTAACACCCGGGGGGGTTGGTTGGGGCTGTGTAACAGGACCTGCTGTGAGGACATGGATGCTTTTGCACAGGAATTGGCTTCCAAAGGTGCTTTTGGGGCAGTTTCTGGGTTCTTTCTTGGTTTCCAGCACAGCAGGTCCTACCACACCCCTCGAGCTTCTCACCCCCGCCGGCAGGTCCAGGTCCTCGGGGTATAACTTCTCCCCACTTCCATTATTCCCATTTATTATTAAATCCTCCTTATTTAAAGCACAAGGGCAGTTGTTGGGGCAGGTGTCTATACCACATTTCCCCATTAGCAGCTGTTATGAAGAACCCACAACAATTTATTGTCCTTTAGACAATTATTCTCTCACCTGAGAAGGGGAATTGGGAAAAACAAGGAAACTCAAGGGCTGAAACATAAACAGGTTTGATAGAATAAGGCTAAAAAATTAACACAGGGTGAGGGGTAATGGTTTTAAACTGAAAGAGGGGAGATTGAGATAAGATATGAGGAAGAACTTCTTTGCTGTGAGGGTGGTGAGAGCCTGGCCCAGGCTGCCCAGAGAAGCTGTGGCTGCCCCATCCCTGGAGGGGTTCAAGGGCAGGTTGGAGGGGGCTTTGAGCAACCTGGTCTGGTGGGAGGTGTCTCTGCCCAGGGCAGGGGTGTGGAATCGGGTGATCTTTAAGGTCCCTTCCAACCCAAACCATTCTGTAATTCCATATTGATCCCAATCCCAATAGAGAATACACAAGGATCATACTCCATCCAGCACTGGGGCAATGAGTTCTCAGGATGGCAACCATCAGGGGAGAGAAAGAGAGAAAGAAAGAGAGAGAAAGTATTGATCCCAATCCCAATAGAGAATACACAAGGATCATACTCCATCCAGCACTGGGGCAATGAGTTCTCAGGATGGTAGCCATCAGGGGAGAGAGAGACAGAAAGAAAGAGAGAGAGAAAGAGAACTCCTCAGCAAACTTTCTGATTTCTCTGGAATGTGCTGTTCATGAAATGATGAAATATGAAAATATGAAATAACCCTGTTGGCAGCTCAGGTCAAGTGCCCAAGTCTTGCTCCTCCTCATCCATGCACCTAGTAACCTCTAAACCCCTAAGATCTTGAACTCCACATCTCAGAACTAGTGATAAAGTACATTTTTTCACAAATTCAGACACTGGACTCTTTAAAAAATACAGTTTTCATAGAGTTGTAGAATGATATAGGGTTGCAAGGGACCTCTGGAGATCATCTAGTCCAACCCCCCCTCCACAGAGCAGGTCTACCCAGAGCAGGTTGCACAGGAGCTTGTCCAGGTGGGTTTTGAATGTCTCCCAAGTATCAGAGGAGACCTTGCCAAAAAGTAAAATTATTGAAAGGAAATTGTGTTGCTCAAACCAGGCCAGCAGCCAAGGTCTCTTCACCAGCTTTTTCTCCTGCAAAGTTGGTTCACCTGTGATGAGGACACGGCTTCTCACCATATGAACTGTCAGAGACAAGAGGAGGCAGAAACCACGGGCTAAAACCTGAAGGAGGAAGAGTAGGACAGGGCTGGGAGGAAGGCAGAGCTCACTTGAGTTGCCCTTCCAGCTCTTCCATCTGCCACTGGGGTGGACTGGGCTGTCAGCAGCCTTTGGCCAATGCCAACCTGCCTAAATCTGTGGCTTAAAGCATCTTCCTAAAATAATTCATAGAATGGGTTGGGTTGGAAGGTAGAATGGGTTGGGTTGGAAGGGAGCTTAAAGACCATCCAGTTCCAACCCCTGCCCTGGGCAGGGACACCTCCCACCAGACCAGGTTGCTCAAGCCTGGCCTTGAACCCTTCCAGGGATGGGGCAGCCACAGCTTCTCAGGGCAAAATCTGACGGGTTTGTCTTCTGGGGGTTGTGTTTCAGCTCCAGATCCTGTGCGAGATGGATCACTTCAAGGTGGCGGTGGACGACGCTCACTTGCTGCAGTACAACTTCCGCGAGAAGAAGCTGAACGAGGTCACCAGGCTCTGCATCGCGGGGGACATCACTCTCACCAGCGTCACCCCGACCATGATATAACTGCAGCTGGGTCATTAATTAAGCTGGGTCATTAAGCGCTTGAGAAGTGCCTTCTTCTGGGAGCATTTTGAGGTAATAAAATGTACTTTCACAAGTAAAAGTTGTTTTGGGTGAGATCTCAGAAGCCGTGACGTCCTGCAGCGACCTGAGCTCGGATGTGGAATTTTCTGAATTCTACGTGCTCCGCAGTTGGAATGAAAAATTCCTCTTTCCCTGAGAGAATGGAAATAGGGAGGCAAAGGAGCGAAGCTCATGCCTGTGGGGAGGAGGAGGAGGTGCAGGATCAGGCCCTGAATGGGTTTGTGGGTGATTCACACAAGTGTCACCACACTGGATTGTCCTCTAGGAACCATGGGAGAACATGAGCCTGCCATCCTGACCAGAATTAGGTATTTGGAGAAGGGGTTGAGAGCTGCAGGATGGAAAACCCTGGGATGGGGCTGGAAAAGTGACTCCTCTCTGCTGCTCCCTTCCCTGGGGGCATCCAGTTCATACCAGCCTTACGTCCTCCACGGGACGACGGGTCACAAGCCTTGTGCCTCCCTCCCCTTATCGCCTCCCTGTGAGTCAGGACCAGTTTCAGGGGTGGGGAAGCTTTATTGGCAAATTCACCTCGTGAGTCAGGCTGGTAAAAAAAGAAAAGAAAAAAAAAAAAAAGGCTGTTCTTTTCTCCAGTGAGTCATTCTCCGGGTCTGCAAAAACAAAACCAGCACAACAGCCTCCCTTTGCCGTGTCTCACCCTCTTTTATAACAGTCGCCTCGATTCTCCTCCGAGATGCCAAGTTCCAACAAGCCCAGTGTTGAAATTCCCAGCAGCTCCTGGCTAACAACAGCTTAAGTGCCCATGTCAGAAATTCCTCCTTCACCAGAATTTATTGGGCGGCGTTGAAGAGTGAGAAGAGCAGGGAAGTCACCCAGAGCTATTTGTTTGAAACTATCCACGTCCCTGGAGTTTAGTAGTGGAGAAAGTCGGGTCCAGCAGGAGTAACACCAAGTCCCCCCATCAGCTTCTGCTGCTTATTTCTGCTTCCAGGTTAAAACTGGAGTCAGAGGAGCTCCACCAGTGGCAACACTTTCAGCTGAGGGATCTGAATGACCTTTGCCTGGTTTAAAATCAAGGCCAGGGGAAGAATGTGGGTGTGTTACACTAAAGTCAGCACTATAAGAAGGAGAGCAGGCAGGTATTTATTAAAAATATAATATATCCGGCATGCTCCTGCTGCATAAATATATTACAGTCCAGATCAGAGGATGTAGAAGGACCAACATGGGAGAAGAGGCTGAGGTTAACACGTCAGCTGTTCAGAGAAAGAAGGTAAAAGTGTTTTCATATGAAAGAGCAAAGAGAGAATAGGGTTTGGCTCGAAGATACTCAAGAGATGACTGTGTCCTTAAAGGAAATAATAATCAATGCCTATTTCAACACACTGCCAGGAAAAGATAGTGTCTGACTTGGAAATCACTATTCTAAGATCTTCTACTCTTAAAGCCGGGGGTTGTTAAACCCCAGGAAGATTCTCCCAGGAAAGAATTCCATGCACTGAACCCTCCTGCAGCTGCTGCTCAGGCAGAGCCCTGAACACACAGAGTGCAGGAGCCCGGGGGTGCCCCAGGCTCCCCCCAGCAGCCATGGGGGAGGAAACGGTGCTCGGGGTGGGGGGCAACAGGCTGAGTCCTCCCCCAGAAGGTGCCCTCGCATCAGGAACAGCACACAGGCAGCGCTAGTCTGATAGGCATCTCATTATTATAATAATAATCATTCCTGAGGTAAGGACAGGACAGAAAAATTCAAAGATGAGTAGTTTTATAACTCAAAACAGGCAGGAAATCCGTGAAATGATACAAAAATAAAAACATTTCAGGTTGTAATAACAACATGCAATCATGGGATAGGGCAGGTGAAACCAACAGACGCTCCGCAGAACTTACGGTATGTGGTGGCAGCACCCAAAATATTACAAAATATTTTAATAAGCTCCACTACAAAATACTACAGGTGCTGGTTGGCTCCGAACACAGCGCGAGGGTAACAGACTGCATTCCAGATTATCTCCTGGGGGTTTTGGTTAATACCATTTACACCTTTGGAATTTCGAGTCACTCCTCATTTTTCCCCAGAGGAAGAAAAGGGAGAAAATATAATCAGGTCATCAGGGGCTTCGGCTGCTGCCAACTTCTGGGCACGGGTCCTGAGTGGAGTGAAGGGAATCTCGGTGTCCAGCATCGGCTGTGGAAGAAATCAGAGCAGGAATTAAGCTTTCAAGGAACAATTAACCTCTCTGCAAACCACCGCTGCAATGACACAGGACAGAAGCTAACAGCAAATTCCCCTTCCGCTAATGACATCTTTATAAAAAGCAGACACGTGTGCTGGCTTAGGTACCACACTGATTCAAAGCAACAGCCACCAGAGCTTTCCCAAGTGACATTTTCCAAGCTTATTTCCAAACATAAGATAAGAATCATAGAATTGTTCAGGTTGGAAGGGACCTTTCAGATCGAGTCCAACCATCAACCTAACTCTGATAAAAAACCATCACTAACCCATGTCTCTAAGCACTATGTCAACCCATCTTTTTAAATCCCTCAAGGGATGGTGCCTCAACCCCATCCCTGGGCAGCCCATTCCAATGCTTAAGAACCCTTGCAGTGTCAACATTTTTCCTAATATCTAACCTGAACCCCCCCTGGTGCAACGTGAGGCCATTTCCTCTTGTCCCATCACCTGTTCCTTGGGAGAAGAGACTGACCCCCACCTCTCTACACCCTCCTTTTGGGGAGTTGGAAAGAGCAAGGTCTCCCCTCAGCCTCCTCTTCTCCAGGCTGAACACCCCCAGCTCCCTCAGCCTCTCCTCATAAGACTTACTCTCCAGACCCCTCACCAGCTTCGTTGCCCTTCTCTGGACCCGCTCCAGCACCTCAATGTCTTTTTTGTGGTAAGGGGCCCAAAACGGGACACAGCCCTCAAGGTGGGGCCTCACCAGTGCCCACCATGGTCCATTTCAAGCAGTAATCTGTATCTTTCCACTTGAGACCCAGGAAACTGTTAACACCCAAACTCTTTTAACAATTTGAAAGGTTTTGCACACCTGCTTTTCCCTGTTGAATCTTACTTTGAAAGAAAGTAAGATCAAGCTATAAGGAAAAAGGGATAGGACAGACCTGGAAAACTCCAAGAAGGAAGTGGAAGGAAAAGACCAAGCCTTTTATTATGTCAGGAAATATTTACAAGGAAATCCACCAGAAATATAATGTAAAGGATCAATCTGAGAGGAATCAGACACTCTCCTGTTACACGTCTTGATTGATCCTCATCACGTGCAACAAGGAATAACAGTGTGAGCCCGAGCAGGGAGACAGGAATCGGGGCTTGGGTTTAGAGTAATTTATATGAACTGGCTTGATAACATCTCAACAGTTTAATTGACTTTGTGATTCTGTGGGCAAAGTGAACAGTTCTGTAACACACAGATTCTCTCAGTCAAACAAACCTGAAGGTCCACTCACCGTATCAAAAGGATTTCCGGCAATGGGTGTCAAACCACTACATGAAACATCTGAAAAATAAGAATATTTCATTATTTTTAAAAAAAAAAAGTTAGTTTGACACTGCCAGAGCTGAAAAAAAAACAGTATTGCTTCTGCGTTTATTGAAAAGACACCCCAAACCCTAAACTGTCTGTATTTACTTCAAATCTTTTATATTGGCTTGCTCCCTCACGTATGACACATAAATCAACCCAGCTACTAGGATGGTGATTTCAAAGAGTAATATTTCCTCTATCATAAAGACTTTATAATAATCCTAAGGCCCCAGCAGCCCCACACAAACTATACGAAGCAGCTTGAAGGTGTTTGATACCTGTTTGATGTATTTTTGATTCTCCAGACTGAGCAAAGTCCGTCTCTGTGCAGGTCTCCTTCTCCAGACCGCGCACGACAATATCTTGTCCTTCTGGTTCTGCAGCACACACTTCCATCTCTTCAGTCTCATCCGTTACTTTTAATTCACTGCTGGAATTTTCCAGCACCTGAAAAAGAAAAGAAGTTCCTCCTCATGTTTAGATGCAACTTCTTATACTCCAGTTTGTGCCCATTTCCTCTTGTCCTGTCCCTGGGCACCACTGAAGAAAGACTGGCCCCATCCTCCTGACACCCACCCTTTCAGTATTTATAGGCGTTGATCAGATCCCCCTTCAGTCTTCTCCTCTCCAGACTAAAAAGACCCAAGTCCCTCAGCCTTTCTTTTTAAGAGAGATGCTCCAGGCCCCTCATCATCTTTGTAGCCCTCTGCTGTACCCTCTCCAGCAGTTCCCTGTCCTTCTTCAACTGGGGAGCCCAGAACTGGTCCCAGTGCTCCAGATGGGCCCTCCCCAGGGCAGAGCAGAGGGACAGGATGACCTCCCTCCACCTGCTGGTCACACTCTTCCTGATGCCCCCCAGGATGCCATTGGCCTTCTTGGCCACCATGGCCATTGCTGGCTCACGGGCATCCTGTTGTCCACCAGGACTCCCAGGCCTTTTTCCACAAAGCTGCTCTCCAGCAGGTCAGGCCCAAACACCCTCATAGGCTTGGTAAGATCTTAGAGAGTACAAAGGAATTTCTTCCATGTGAAAGAAGACTTGGAACTTAAAGTGCCCAAAACATTCCGAGGATGTTCTCTAATGAGACTTTACCTCAAGGAAAACCTATCAGCAATACTGAAATTTAAAGATTATCATGGTTTTCCCTAGAGCACGACATCACGAACAAGCAGTTTCTCATTTGACACGGAAAGGATTAAGTAAAAGGTCATGAGAACAAATCAGTAAGCGAGATTATTATTTTAATATATATCTGGGGAGGTGGGAGGAGGAAATGACTGCTGTAGTCATGCAGAGATCCAAGCAGTAACAAATAAAATTAAGATACTCTGTTTCCAATGAAAGGCACTAAAGGATGATTAACTGCAAAGCTCTGGCTGGCATCGAGTAGCGCAGTGAATCATGGAATCATATGAACTATGGAGGCCACATTCCTGTGTTTCTAAGGCTGCTCAGACACAGACAGGTCACCAAGTCCTCACACATTTCAGGGTGTGGATTCCTGAACTCTGATACTTGTATTGGTAACACTGCTCTTGCTTTAGGATAACAGCCCAACGCTCTGCTACGGCAGTGTGAGCACCCAGAGAGAGAAAATACCACTGTTGCCTTTAGTCATAGTACCCAAATGCAAAAGAGTTTTATAAAAATTCACACCAGGAAACAGTGGCCTTTAAAGGAGCATTGTTTGCCCAAGTGACAAGTGTCCACGTACAGCAGCCAACAACAGGCAGCTCCCAAAGAGCTAGAGAAGGTCCCCAAAATGCAGCAGTCCCTATCTATGTCCGCACTGAGAAGGACAAAGCACCAGCCTGAGGAATACAGAAGATCTTGATGGGGGTTTTATCAGAAATCCAAGTGTCTGGGGCTAATAAAAATAACTTCATTCTTTTGTTAATAATAAATAAACTATTTACTGCACATAAATTAACAATGCATGACTTACCTTAGTTCCCTCTGCTGTGCCAGCAACAGGACTCTCTTGGATGGAAATGCTGAAAGGGAAACAAAAACGTTTTCATTCTTCTCCATCACCTTCATCGATCACCTTCAATCATCTTCTGACTTATCCAACTGCTCTTACAATTTGTTCTGCAATTACGTTCACTTCTTTGGCACTGGTCAGCTATATCAAGTCTTCTGGATAAAAAAATAAACTTCTGTCCTGGCAGCAAAATTACATTTGGGCAAAATTCAAAATACACAAGGACCTTGCAACCTTTATCACTGTCAAACTGGAAGGTAGGCTTACTGGGTAATATTAATTCTTTCAGGTAAAGCTATCAAATTCTTTGTACAAAAAGTTAATTAAAAGCTGCTTGAACGCGTCTACCTTTGTTCAAAATAAATAGCAGGGAGTTCTTCCGGTGGGGGAGTTTTTCCAGTGGGAAATGGGTGCATTTTCAAATTTTGTGCTGGGTGGGAGCCCTCCAGCCCAGGTGTAGTGTGATTTGCAGTCACATCCTCAGGGTTCCCAAGCCCAGAAGGAACCCTCCGATGCAAAGCTCTGCTGGATGATCTGGGAGTTGCCTGTTTTCCAGAAATCTGCTGGGCAGATCTGCGAGGTGTCTTTGACAGCACACCTGAAAAAGGGTGTTTAATGTTTCGTTACTACAGCAGTTTCTAGCAGATGAAATGAACTGTTTTGTTTGGATTTTAGCTGGGAACGCTATTGCTTTCTACTTGCTGAATGCTCTTACACAAATATTATATTGAAATCTTACAGACATTGCAAGAAGAAACTGAAAAAAGGTGACAAGAGCAGGTCAATAAGTTACAAAACTACCTTAACTCCAGCTAAACGATTTAGTCATGACCATCCCTTCACAAAGAACCTGTAATAGTGAGACTTGCCGTCATTAATTTCCACCTTTCACATCAGATAATTTTAATAGAATTAAAGTTACACAGATTCTGAACTGATTCTTGTAAAAGATTCTCTGCTAGAGCTTGCTTCAAACCGGCTTTTCAGAAGGTCTCCTCTGCTAACACGAGGCATACGAAGAAACTGCTAGTCTTGTGATGAGGAAACAAGTCTGCACCAAAAATAAAGTGCGAAATTCAAACCCAACTTATGAGCTAGAAATGGGAGACGAGCAGAACGGCTCCCAAAGAATCAAGGATTACTGAGGGGGACCCAGAGTTTGCCACGAGTGTCGTGCATGAGACTTTTCCAGCTCCGTACTCCCAGCCAGATGCACAAGGGACCCTTACTCTTAGGAACTTGGATTGGAAGCTGTTAACTCAGCTGCGATCCACAGTGAGTGAGTTGGGACTGAAAGGGGAACCTACAAGGCAGATGTTGGACTATATTTGGGGTACTAATATCTTACTCCCGGGCGACATATGCAGTATAACAAAGTTGATTGTGACTCAACATCAACAGCTGTTATTTAATGCCCACTGGCAGGCTGTCTGTCAGGAGTCGGTAGTGACGGTCAGGGCACTACACGGGGGTCACTGTTGAGGAGTTGATGGGTCTAGGGCCTTATTTTTGAGCAGAGGCACAAGCGTTGATGGGGGCAGAAAAGGCAAAGGAAGCAATGAGAGTAGCTTCAAGCTCCAACAGGGTAGGTTTAGATTGAACATTAGGAAGGAATTTTTCACCAAAAGAGTGGTCGGGCATTGGAACAGGCTGCCCAGGGAGGGGGTGGAGTCCCCATCCCTGGCTGTGTTTAAGGGCCGTTTAGATGCAGTGCTAAGGGACGTGGTGTAGGGGAGGACTTTGTAGAGTAGGGTAGATGGTTGGACTCGATGATCCCAAGGGTCTCTTCCAACCTCAATGATTCTATGATTCTATAAGAGCGCCTGGAGGATTCCCTTCCTATATGGGTATTAAGCAAGGAAGAGAGAAGCCATTTGGTTTGTTTATTGATCGAGTAGCAAACACCATACAGGTGGCCGGGGTGCCCAACTATCTCAAAGGCACTATACTAAAGCAGTGTGCTATACAAAATTGTAATCCAGCCACGTGTAACATCTTGGCAACATTACCAGGGACACGGACCATCGAGGAAGGACTAGAAAGAATGGCACAGGTACCTCTGGGGTCACAGGCAATGTTAGTTGAGGCAGTAAAGGAGTTAGGGAATGGTTTAAAGGAACACACACAGCCTACGCAGAGTCAGGTTTTGGCAGCCCTTGCTCCAAAGGAAGCTTGCTGATCACTCCTATTGAGTGCTCATGTCTTCCCTCCGTTGCACCAATAAATCCCAGTGTCTTACAACTAGAGGCTATCAGCCTGCAGCGACGTTGAACTGATTTGCCAGCTAAGGCTGGGAACACTCAGATTGAAACCTCGTTGTTAAACACATGCTGAAAACACATGAACCAGCCGCTTTTACCTCTCTAAGCAGAGATTTGATGTTGCCGTTATCATTCTAATCAGCACATTCATGTAGAACAGTTTACTTTGGATCTCTGACGTAATTAACCACCAGCTGAAATATTGTGTCCAGTGCTGGAGTTGTATCCACTATAAACAGCCCAATTCCTCTCCTCAATGAAGCTGGTTAAACTTTCTTCAATGCTCTCACCTCACAGAAATGGTGATTAAGCTTCACCCACCTGGAAAGGTTTTCACGGGGCTTTCAACCCTGAAAAATACCGCGTCAAAAACCACTTTCTCTACTTCTGGTAGTTTCTCCTGCTGTGTACAATCAGCAGCTCCGTCGTGCTTCATTTTCTCCCTCAGAGCTGCTTTTACAGCAGCAAGGCGGTTTCGGGCAGCCGTTCTTCCAGCCGCTCCCAGCTTTGGTTTCGACCCTCCATTTGGAACAGGCTTTTTCTGAAATTGTAAGAAAGTCTCAGTCACATCTGGAAGCTTTGGATAGAAGCAATTGCACAGGAATATCTACACGGCTGCTGCCACACTCAGAGACAGCACCATGTCAAGTGACACGCTGGTGACAAGCTCTCTGTTCACCTCCAGAGTCCCCTGGACTGCCACTCAACTATTGAGGTGGTTTGTGATGATCATATTAAGGATTTTTCATATTAAGCCTGCAGTTCAGAAATACTAAGTACAGCTTTTTTTTCCCCTAACAGAGCCAATTAACATTTTTTAAATCAGTGGGATACAGGGACTCCTAGTGGCAGGGAGATAAAGTAACCGCAGGACAGAGCAGCCAGCCAGTGCCATCACCCCTGGCACTCGATTTTTCAAAGGAAGTTGTGTGTCTTGTACGATCTGCTGGGTTCTGACATTTACCAGCAGCTCACACAGACCCATTCCCTCCAGTTTCTTGTGCCTGGAGCTTCTTACTGACCTTCATATAATTCTTACCATTAGTTGAGCAGTCTCAGGGAAATGGATGAAGTTTAGGTGATGTGAACGTGACTTGATATTCAATCAATTCTATATTCCAACCCAAAGAGTGATCAAATAGCTTACATTAAAGCTTATTTTGCAATAAGCACTAACTTATTTTGGATCAGATCCACTTATGTGTAGACACTTAGTAGTTTAATGCTACCCATGGTGCTGTCTTAATGGGACACCGTTATAATTTAGCACTCAAGGCTCAGAACTGGCAGTCACTGCCCAACTCCGGTGCAGTTTCCTTTTCTGTTAAGTCAGTGCCAACACCAGTGGCCCAGTGAAAATATTCTACATCTGATGGGTAAAGCTTCTCTCCTAAACTTACCAGACTTGCCTTATTAGCAAAGACTCCAGTGACTCCTAAAGAGTCGCTGTTAATTCTAATCTTTCCAGCCAAAAGAGGTAACACCACAAACACCAACTAATACAAGTGCACTTGGGAGATGCAAGGGAGAAGGGTGCATCTAGAAAGGAATTTCACTGAACTCTGAGACATTAGCATCTAAAGCAGCCAGATGAGTAGGGCTTTAGCCTCTCTTAAGAAGAGTATTCATCACTGCAATAGCAGCTTATTAGTTATTTTCGATACCTCAATGCACTGTTGATGCAGACTTGGCAGACAGGCTTTAGGGACTAATTCTTACCTTGACAATGGCTTTGCTTGGGACATCAAGTGGTTGCCACTCATTGTCTTGAAGCTTCTTCAGATTCTCAAATTTTTTATTGACGTCTTCTATCTATTGGAAATCCCAGAAAAGTCCAGGTTTAATTTTAAAGACTTATCAGATTCACAATAGAACAGCGTTTCATAAAACCAGGTACTACATTTAAGGAGAGGTATGCATTTAGATACTGCAACCACTATTAGGTATTAAACATTCTCATACAGGTAAGGTGAAGGTCACGGTAACATACACAAGCTTCAGATTAGACGACAAAGCCAGTCTTATTTCTGCAGTTTAAGGGTTACTAGGGGAGGTATAGAATCATTCAGGAAGATTTGACATCCACAGTGAAGGATCTGCTTTACAACCTGCTTGTGCTCAATTTAAGCACTTTGTCAACGGCTGCATTTCAGGAATGTGAAAGAACATGTTGCCTAATAGTCTTTACGCCAAAAAAGCCCGAGTCTTCCATTCTGTAGGAAACACCTCACGTGAGCTTGCTTGCTCTTTTAAACGACCATTCGTGACAAACTGGCTCTGCAGCTTTGTCTCCTCCCTGACCAACACACAGAGCAACAGCCTTGTTCTCCTCAAGCTTGGTAACAGAGAGTCTCGCCTCCTTTGTGGGTAAGGCCACACAAGGCTTTGTTATTTGCAGAGGACCACTCACCGGAGTGACAAGTCCTTTACATCCTCCCTGAAACTCAGAGGACACAGCCAAAATACAAATGGGAAAAGGGGCAGAGTTAGCAATTCTGCTACTCCAAGCTTATCAAAAGGAAAAGGTGGGGATGCTCAAGAGAAACTCAGAGCTGCTCCCAGGTAAGCACAGGCAAACCCTGTTTTTCAAGTTATGGTTTTTAGTAAAGTTCCCCTCAACTATCTCTAATGCATAAGGAGGTCAAGCCCTTACATTTTCTGTAGGGGATTAAAGACCTACGACTAGGGCTTTAACAGTCAATCCATCTTTGCGTTTGATTTAACTAGTTACAAATATCCTTTGTTGAATGCCTTTGTTGTTCAACAAATCCTTTGTTGAATTTACAAATGCTGTCGAGAGCCATTCTGATAATTTAGAATATTATATTTCATTCTGAAACCAATGGAAGCATCAACAGAGAAAGCTAAGTGAAGGTTTTCTACCACCTGAGCTCACCCCTAAATAAGGTTACTGTAGTTTTTGCATTATTTTCATACTGAAGCCTGGAACCCCTACTTTTCAGGTGAGCTCCAGGAATTTTCCTAAAGCTCCCAGCTTTTGGTCCAGATAGACATGGTGACTGTATCCCCAACTCCAAGCCAGAATAAGACATGCCTTCATTGCAGAGAAAAACAATATACAGAGCTCACAAGACAACACAGGATGAGCAGATCCATGAATCATAAATTATAGTATAGCAGATGGTATTATTCACTATCACAAAGTGTTAAACAAGGACCTGCAATTTTTTTATATATATATATTAAAAAAAAAAGATAGCAGAATCTGAATATTCAAAAAGCAAAAGAAGAGTTTCAATCCACTGCTTGTAAATAACCTCATTAACTTTATTCTAGTAGGTTAATAAGTAGATACCTGAAAATTAACCATGTCCCAAAATCCATCTAAGTCCGTACATGTCGTTTCTTTTTCACCTCGTTTGAATTCACAATTATCCACCAGTCCTTCAAACTGTTTAAACCTTTCTGCTATGAGCAGTCTTGTCTGACCAGTTGTGGTGCGAATAAGATCTTTAGCTGACGAGAAGACAATAAAGAAAGCGTTTGAATCTTTGAATATTCATCATTTCATAATTGTTTTAAATAATTATTTGGAGAGTCTGGAATTTGTTTATTGATTGAACTATGTTCATCTATTACAGACCTGCAGTACAATTCAGATGGAGCACAGCTATCAATTGAACTGCTCTAAACTTGCTTCTTTCAAAAAAAATGTATGTTAACTACCTCTTTAAGTCTTTCAGATAAGCATTGGTGAGTCATCTTCATTTTCCCAGGTAAGGACACATTAAAATCTAATTTTTTTTTTTTTTCAAATCAGCTTGGTTAAAGCTCATACCTTTAAATCCACTTAAAACTGACAACAGAAAAACTATTTCGATACGCGCTTTGTTCACTTTAGTGCCAAGCACCATCCTGTCAAGTACTACACCTAAGTTTTAGTATTGGGAGATGAAGCACACCTTTTTGTCTTCGGCCAGATACAACTCTAAACTTTATATAATACGATTTTTAATAAGTGCTGTAGACAGTGCTATTCTGCAAATATATTCAAATACACCTAGTTCCCCTCCATCCCCTTCAGTTACTGTAACACCCCTTCTAGTGCCTGTTACAGTTTAGTCTTACCATCCTCTGGGATGTCCAGTTCAATCTTTCCGTCCCACTGGAGGCACTGAGACGTCAGCCTCTCTGTCTCAGACCGAAGAATATTTCTAAAAATAAAGGGAGAGTGAAAAAAAACCCAAGTTTTTGGAGAATATTCTAACTGCTGTCACTGCTTGTGACTGTAAACAATTCCTATCTTTTTGCTTTGAGAGAAAACAAAGAAACTCTGTCTGCGAGCAGAAGCCATGAGACTTTGCTGACTGAGATGTAATTTCTCTTCTACTGCTTTCAATCTTGTTTTCTTTAGGATAAGGTGTTAGTATCCAAAATTTTATATTCTTTACTTGCACAACAATATCAAAGGGAAGACTTCCCTTGCACTCGGCACTGGTGAGGCCCCACCTTGAATATTGTGTCCAGTTTTGGGCCCCTTGCCACAAAAAAAAAGACATTGAGGTGCTGGAGCGGGTCCAGAGAAGAAAACAAACCTGAAATAGGGCACATCATGCACTTCTTCTTCTCTTACATCATCTGACTTCACCTCAAGCGCTGTTGTATCTGGAGAGATGGGAATTGCTTCACTTGATCTCTGAATGGGAATCTTTTCACCTGATTCACTTGCTGAAAAATATGAAAGGCATTTGTTCAGAATCTGGGGAAAACTAGAAACATTAGAGCAATAAACTAAATGCAAACTTCCCACCTTTTTCTCCTTTCAAATTCGTAGTGGTTTCCTGTTCTTGAACACTGTCACCAGCAGGTGAAACTTGGCTTGTTAAATTGGGCTCTGGTGCCTTAGCTTCACTGGGTTTTTCAATTATATTACTGGAAACAAACAAAAGGTACTTTTAGAGTTCAGACACATTGAGAAACTGACATCAAATCCAGCCAGGTACACAAAAATGCCCCATTTGGTAGGCTGTCTTACACTCAACACCAGAGAAAGCCAGCAGTTCCTACTAAAATTAATAAATCTGTGTATAGTTACATAAGGCACAAGTCCCTAATATATGGAGCTGCTTTACTTTATGGCATAGACAGGATTATAGATCATATAGCTTTCTTTGCTGTTATATTAAGACCACATTTGATTAAACAATGATAACATCCATGATGATCAGGTGTTTAACATCACAACAGTTTGTTACATCATCTCTATAGAAAGATGATGCTTTTCTGTGTCACCACAGAGAGGTTCACCTGCATTTTAGGCCATTAGAAGAAAGAAACTTACACTGGAGATTTCGAAAAATCCCAGAAGGCATTAGGTGTCAAAAAGGCATTTGCCCTAGAAGGAGTCATGGGGGTAACTTTGTAGGTTGCTAATCCAGTTAATGGCTGAAACACAAAGTTTTGAGGAGCAAAAGAGCGTGTTCTGGGTCTCCCTGAAGCAGCATTAGTTTTGTTTTCCGCTGAGGTTTGTTCCTGCTGAAGTTCTACTGACACTGAATGTTTAGAATCAGCTGCAGAATCTTCCATCACCGCATCCAGTTGAGCATTTTTATCCCCTTCATGTTTAGAAGGAATTACCTGTAACAGCACAAACAGACAAAGCAAAGGCTACGTTATCAAATCAATAAAGTGTTTACTCTTAGGCAAGGGCCGAATTACAACATGACTGTCTGAAAGCCAGTTTTGGGTAAGTCGCTTTCTACATCAGTATAACCATACAGGAGCCATGATTTACCAACCAGCCAAAAGAGCTTAGAATGTTTCTTCCAGAAAATATGCATCTTCAGCCCACTGAAAGTCTTTTTATAGTTTAGATATCCCTGCTTGGAATGTTAAGCCTCGAATTCAACTCTTAACACACTTGTCAAGAGATGACTGAGGTTGCAGCAAGAGTTTGCTGCCCATGAAAAGGTACTTAACGAAGCGAAGATAAAGTGCCTCTTACCTCCTGTCAGTGAGCATGATGGTACCAGTTTTAAGAGAATACTGGAGCACAGCTGCTGTTATGGGAAGGGGAGTGGAGATGGAAGGTGTGAGGGAGACATGAGGTGAGTGGGAATGGTGGAGCACAAAGGAGGAGAAAAAAATCATGGATGGTTTTTTGCACAGGACTCTCAGGGCATGAACACACACACAGAGTGTTTGGGAACCCGGGTTGAAGGGCTACAAGGAATTCAACATGTTGCTGTCTCTATATAGAGGCAGAAAAGTTTTGCTATAGCAGTCACACCAAGAACCACAATGATTGCCTTAAATTCTGATAAATCATGTCTACCTTGCAGAGAGAAGAACTTTTTATTCTCTCCAGCTTCATTTTTTGGTGGTTCAAAACCTAAAAATGCATTTATTTCTTAGCTTCTGGAGTCTCATCATCTCAGCAGGACAAGGACACATTCAGACTGTGTTTCAAAAAGGAATGAACTGCACAAAATTTACAAACACTAGATAAACCCAGCAAACTAAGCAGGCCTTTTTTTTTTTTTTTTTAACTAGATGAACATCAGACATGAGATATGACACCTAACAGCTTCTTGTGTAATTTAAATCATTGTCCAGATCTTGAGTAGGATTCAAGTCATCCATATAAGCAGACTAAATTTAATCGTAGTTTTAAAAATATGGCAATATAAAAACATACAAGTTCTTCCCAACACCTAGCTTATTAGTGAACTTATTACTTCTATGCCTGAACACAACTATATTTGAGCTACAATCACACTACAATTTGTTATTATATGTTCTTAAATTAGTTTTATTACTTTTCCATGTCAAATATTAAATGACCTACCTCCTTGATGTCAGGTTTGACTGCTTTCTTCTGCTTTCCTCCATTTGCTGTCTTTCTCTGTGACTGGTTACCTAGAGTAAGAGAAACTCCCAAAGGTCAAAAAGGCATGTGATTAAGACAATCTTTCACCACAAGATTGCCATAAAAAGCCCAGTGGTTAAAGACAGGGAAAGACTGTTTTGTTTCTTGAGTGGGAGGTGGCCGGAGGGCAGCCACCTAATTGCAGAAGTTCATTCAAAAGAAAACCTGGCCTAAGATTTAACATCCTATTGAGATTTATCACCAAGAAAGGAAAACAGATTCATTAAGTCATTAGTCTTTAGATGTTGTCATATACTAAAAATAAAAGTCACCTTATTTCCTTAAAGGCTAATCAGTGTCAAGCCCATCTGAGTTCAAATGTTTTAATTTCTGTATGGCATAGCATTTCTAAGGGTGAGTTAAAGTCAATAGTAACACAGCTGGGCTTTCAGCTTAGGGGTTAAATTCTCTAACCTATAATACATTCTCTATAATACAGGGGATGCTCTACACTACAGGATGTAGTGTAGAGGGATGATCTACACTAAAAGTTTCCTCTTCAGCATCCATCACATTCCCCTATTCTAGTAAACAGAGAAACGTGGATGAAGAGAAATTATGGATCTGAAGAACATGGGCTCTCATCTCTTCCAGAGGCATCTGTTCCTGATCACAGGCCTAATAGTCATATGTCCTTAAACGGTGATACACCAAACTGGCAAACTTCTACCAGTCTGGGTTTGTCTTTCAGTTTGCAATTACCATATGGATATTGATGCTCCACACTGATGGGTTCTATGGGAAACTGTCCAATGTTGGTTTCAAAATCTTGATTTAAATATTAAAATAGAGTTCCAGATGAGAGTCTAAGTGATGCAGTGTTTAGTCCTTTTCTTACATGACAATTTGGCATGATTTACATACAGTCTATCTACCCAGAGGAGATGGTTATACAGTAGAACACAGTGTTCTAAGACAGTGCAGAACAAGCTGATCTGTGCCTCTACAGCACAAGGAGTGATATAAGCAAGACTCTAAAGACAACAGAGCTGTCTTAGTGAGTCCAACAGCAGCATATAGATGTACAGATGTTGTTTCCAGCCTTCACATGTCCAATCCTAGATGGTATCTCTCTACAGCACACTTATCTATCAGGCTGGACTGTACTCACGGCCTCCCTTACCAGCAGTAGCCGCAGCTGCTGTTGTTTTCAGCACCTGCCCAGCTGCAGAGGAGGCTGATCTGGTGGTGATTCCTGCCTTTGAGGTCATCTGGACAGCAGGCTGAAGCACTGTAAGAAATGTTAATTCCAGAGATTGCAAAGCTTAATAAGAAGCTGCATTCAAATCATATAATAGAAAGTTTTCATCTCGTAGGAATCAGAAAAGTGCACTAGCAATTATTAACTGGGTTAGTTTGCTAGAATTAACAGAGGTTTTTTATTTTGTCAGCTCAGTGCTAAACAGGGACAGCAGAGCTCAGCCTTGGCATAAAGGCAACACTCTGAAGGACCTTGATTGAAGAAGGTTTTGTTGTACAGTAGTACTTCCAGGACCTAATAACATCAAGGTCCCAGTGTGCCAGATGCCATGTACAAGCTGAAGGAACCCTTCTCAATGTCCCCTGCCATCAGAGCTTTTAGAATAATGACTTGCCACAGTTATTTGCACAAATGGTGCAAACCATCTGTATAACAAAGCGAAGCTCTGATCATTATATTAAAGTATTCTAAGACCTGAATTTAATGTAATCTAGTAAAGCATTTTTAAAATTCAGAGAAACGCCACCCGACATATCTTCTAAAATTAGATTAAGATGTATTACCCAACTTAATAATTTTCATCTTTGTATTTCAGTATACTGTTTTTAATTTCCTTCAAAAAATGATAGCATTGTCCTGCACAGAAAAAAAATAAGATTAATGGGAGCTCTTCATTTTACACGCTCCGTTTCTATACCTGCCTGAAATCTATTATCCCCACTCAGTTACTGTCAATGCCAATTGTGTTTTTAACATCATTCTAATTCCACAGAGCTGCAGCTTGACAAGCTGGGAAAAAAATTATTGGATAAATAAGTACAATGTTTGATTTATCCAAACATTCACTTCCCTAACCTTTTTAAACTAGTGTTTAAGCACATACAATGTATATTCTTGATTCAGCAAAAAGCGCTATCAAGTCTACTGGATGATAATTGAAAAAAAAAAAGTTTTAATTGTCATATCAAACACTGATAATAGAGCTTTTCAGTAGTCATTGAAGGCATGACTGAAATTTATTTAAATTAAGGTCTACTGCTTGCTGATTTAATTAAGTTAACGACGTGAAAGTCATTTCACTCTGAATCACTGCATATCTTGCATTAATGTCAGTATTTCACATGGCTTAGCCTTATCTCCTTAAGGCAAGGATCTCGCTGTGCTATCAGGAAGAATTTCTAATCCAGATATTCTCCTCTCTTAAACGAAGGTGTCAGGGGCTGGGGTTTTCTGTGTGTTTTGTTTTCTTCAGAAACATACGCAATTGTCACATAGAAAATCCAATAACTGAAGAGATACAGAAGGGGCTGTTGTAAAATACAAAAACATAAGCTTGTACCTGTCATTTATATAGAAGACAATCACACATTTACTCAGTTGCAATAGTGTGGATCAGAAGATTTGGGTCCTGCCTCCACATTAAATAAGTACGCTAACATGCTCTACCCAAAGGCTACCTTTTCCAAACCTTTTTCAATGCTGAGTTACACAAGCAGTTGTATTTAGAGACCCCAGATAACAGCATGTCTGCTGACAGAGAGGAGAAAGACTTCACTGAAAGTATTTAGAGCTGATTCAATCATCTATTCTCCAGGTTACCCACAACAGCAAGGAAAATTCATATTTTACTTGTATCAGCTATTCTTCATCTTTCCGGGTGAAGTTACTTGCTCTCCTGCAATAACAGCAGCTACTCCATGTGATATTCTTCTTAGAGACATACAGGAAGCTCTGCACAGCTCCAAATGCTGAAACAGCAATCATGCAATTCTACCTACTGACCCTTTATTCTTTTCCCCTCTCGTAGGGGGAATAATCAATAACCAGGACGGCATTAAGTACCCTACACTCCCTTTTCCCAGCCTATAGAGGCAACAAGTACATGCAACACCCAGAGACACACACTTGATGATCTGCCAGTTGCTGTCCTTGTCATAGCTGGTAGGGATGGCCATCCTGAAAACTCCTCCTTATTTTCTACACGCAAAAATTTCCTATGGATCTCTCCCAGAGATGTTCCTCCCATAACGTCACAACTACTGACTTCAGAAAAACACAACCCATCATCATCATCCTCTCAGATTCAGATGTTGGGATTGTACTACTTCCATACCTTTCTTTTTTTCAGCTGCTTTATCTGTATCCATCTGTTTACGTTCTGCTTGTGTGGAGCGCACATTATGCCCCTTGGCACAGACCTACAAGAGAAGAACGTTTTTTTGTGAAGTTTCACATTTCCAGAAAAGAAGCAGCCTAATTTCTTTCCTCATCTTTCTATCCTAGGGCTCCAGTAAAACAAATGGTCAAATAATTTGGCACAAAGGGCTTTAAAAAATAAAGAGACATCAAGGATAACTTAGATAGCTTGTTTTAGACATGCGTTACCATGCATTATCCAACTAATTAAGCAGGTTGATGAAGTATTCTATAAACAGCTGGCTGCAGTCTTCCAAAAGCCAGCCCTTGTTCTCATTGGGGACTTCAGCCTACTGGATGTCTGCTGGAAATAGCTCGTGGTAGGACTTAAGGAAAAAAGGAGGGTTTAGCTCATGGTAGGACTTAAGGAAAAAAGGAGGGTTTACCACCTTTGGATGAGGGAACAGGCAACTCAGGAGGAGTACAGAGATCTTGTTAGGTTATACAGAGAAAAAATTAGGAAGGCAAAAGCCCAGCTGGAACTCAACCTGGCCATTAATACAAGGGACAACAAAAAAAAGTTTCTATAAACACATCAACAAAAAGAGAGTCAGGGAGAACGTCCATCCCTCACTGGATGCAGGGGGAAACATTGCGACCAAGGATGAGGAGAAGGCTGAGATACTTAATGCCTTCTTTGCCTCCATCTTTAATTGTCAGACCAGCTACGGCCAGGGTATTCAGCCTCCTGGGCTGGAAGATAAGGATGGTGAGCAGAACAAATCCCCTGTAATCCAAGAGGAAGTAGTTAATGATTTGCTTATGCACCTGGACACGCATAAGTCCACAGGGCTGGATGGAATTGACCCAAGGGTACTCAAGGAGCTGGCAGGAGAGCTCACCAAGCCTCTCTCCATTATCTATCAACAGTCCTGGTCAACAGGAGAAGTACCAGATGACTGGAGGGTGGCCAATGTGATGCCCATCTACAAGAAGGGCCGGAAGGAAGATCTGGGAAACTATAGGGCTATCAGCCTGACCTCGGTACCAAGAAAGACCATGGAGAGGATCATCTTGGGATGTGCAGGGCAGGCAAGGGATCAGGGCCACCCAGCATGGATTTATGAAAGGGAGGTCCTGCTTGACCAACTTGATCTCTTTCTATGACCATGTGACTCGCTTTCTTGATGAGGAGAAGGCTGTGGACGTTGTCTACCTGGACTTTGGTAGGCCTTTGACACCGTCCCCCACGGTGTTCTCCTGGAGAAACTGGTGAATCATGGCATAGACAAGTGTACCCTTCACTGGATAAAAAGCTGACTGGATGGCCGTGCCCAGAGAGTTGTGATTAACAGGGCAAAATCCGGTTGGCAACCGGTCACAGTAGTGTCCCTCACGGCTCAGTTTTGGGGCCAGTCTTGTTTAATATCTTTATTGATGATCTAGATAAGGGGATTGAGTGTACCCTCAGTAAGTTTGCAGATGACACCAACCTAGGTGTCCTTTGAGGCAGCACTCAACTTATAAGTGTAAAACCCTGAGTTATGGCCTGAAGAATAATTGCATCCTTTTCTCTAAATTTATTACTGAAGTTGATATAATAAACAAACCGTAGAGTGCTTCGTTGCAGTTGGTATCAGAGTTTTCTCCTCTTGGTTCTTGGCCTTCGATCGAGTAATCCTCCCGGAGTACGCAGGAGCTGCCTGGAAACATCCCCAAGGAAACAAGAGTTCATAGAATGGTTCGGGTTGGAAGTGACCTTAAAAATCATCTTGTTCCAACCCCAGCTCCTCCCTCCCCCCAGTCACTGTTAAGAGAGGGCAAGAAGCCTAAATGTGAAAAGCAACGTGCCCGTGCAAAATGAGTCAAATGTGTAATTTGAAAAACTTTCCAAGTCAACTGGACTAAATAGGAACAAGTTACCAGTTCTAAAATAGCTCAGCCATTTCATTTGTGGCTAAATCAGTCCAGTGTTTGAACCGAGAACATAAATACAAAAGTCAACATATCACTGGTACCATTTCCAGCTTTGTTTAAAAAAAACCAAAAATTAGCCAAATTACTCTCTTATTGTTCCTTACTATAAATATTTATAAAGTACTTACAAAATAAAATGTTTATTTGGCAAAACATACACATTATTTTTTATACAAATAGATATTTTAATATTGTATACTACACCTACTTAATTTTTGAGTTATTTCTTATTACCTTCTCTTTAAATATCTATTTGTATACAAAATAATTATTGTATACTACATCTACTTCTTTTTTGAGTTATTTCTTATTACCTTCTCTTTTGGCTTCACTGGCACTGGTTCTTCAGGTACAAATGAAAGAAACACAGGTGCAGTTGGTTTGTATAACCCGACTTTAAACACCCCCTTTTTTGCTTTCTCTCTCTGCTCCCTCAGTTTTCGAAGCTCCTTTTCTTCTTTATAGCGCTGGAGCATTTCCTTGCGCTCGTTCATTCTCTTGGTGGCTGCATCTGTAGATTGTTCTGAAGCAAAGACGACAGACAGACACGTTATAAAATCTTGAAGGTATTTTTCAGCCAACTGTAAATTTTCAGCCAATACTGTAAATTCATGTCCATTTGACAGAGTAAAGGCTGTTCCTGCAAAGTTACTAATACTAACATGCGCACTTTAACTACTTATTAATTATTAATTAATGCCCAATCATGGACTTACAAAAATACTTTTTTACCTTCTACTGAGCTTATCACAATAACAATTATTCTACTATCCAGACAGGTTTTGGTTCCCAGACTGTGCTCTGTTTTTTGTCAGGATGTGCTTCAGATGCAAAACTTGTATGTCTCACTCTTCCCCTGCTCTCAAGGTCACTACTGGCACACACTGTTGCTCCAGGTGCAAGTAAATCTTAACTCTGTGAGTGACCTTTCACTGAGCCCACACCTAGATATTTCCCTCTCAGGTTTTTTTCAGGCAATAGTTCCCCCTCTCTGGGTACAATATTTTCCATGCAACTCTTTCTTCAGACTAAAACTTAGTTCCCTTGTGTACTGTACTATCCATGAGGTATCGAGATTAAATTTGTTCTTTGCCCTTAATCCATGGTTTTGTGGTTGTTCCTGCATCCTGCCTGCATTGGCTCACACACAGGGGAACCTAATTGTGGTCTGTCGAGGGATCCTTGTTCACAGAGCATTATCCAGGGGAAGAGAAACAGACCGGAACACGGCCTTCGACACAGGAACCCAGAGGGGAGGGGAGTATCAATAAGGCCAAAGAAACCAGTCTTGGACAGTAATTCTGCCAAGTAGATGGTAGCAAAGACTGTGAAATAACACGTAGTGTAATCAACTAATCAAAGGCGTGTTTAGGATAATGATTTCGTAGAATAGATGTATGTGTGCTTTATATAGGAAAATGGTGCAAACTAAACCTGTAATAAGTCAGGTGGAGGGGAAGAATGTGAGCTCCAACTTTTCAGCCCATGAGAAGACAGACAGAAACTCAGGCGCCCGGGATAAGGGTATAAATATTTAAAGGTTGAGAGATTGCAGGTGCATCTATTTTTGGTTCACCCGATTCAGCGCTGTTTCGTATAATAAATTTTTAATCTTTGCTTTGGTGACTTTGTCCTCTTTAAATTCTAAGCGTGAGCCGGTGTTTCTCACCATGTTAATAAATCTACTTAAAGACATTCTTAAAAATTAAAAAAAAAGCTTCATAACCAGCCTTTACTTACTCTGTTTCACACTGCTGCTCTCTTGAGAGCACATTTCACTCGTCTCATTCAGCTGAGAGATTTCCCTCTCTTTTGAGTGCTGCACGTTGATGTCTGCCAACCCAAACCGCCTGCCCTTTTCGAACACCTTGTGCCTGTTCTCCTTTTGCAGCATGGATTTTCTGCGAGTGACTTTCGCCCTGATGGCTTCTGTACTCAAATCCTTTTTGTAGCGACTGGCAAACTGGGAGGTTGCAGCCATTTTGATGACCTTGAACAAAACAAAACAAAAAAAACATCGTGATTAGGGGGGGGAAAAAAAAAAAGCTGTCAAGTTTTGGTTTGCCCTTTTCATTAGTGTTTACACCCTAGGAACAAAGCGAGCCCTAGGTTCTTCATGTCTGTATGTGTAGCAGAGAAAATGCAAATGCCCATTTCAATAACGAGTCTTCATTATTTTTCTTCATTTTATGCATTCAAGGGGCTAGTTAGTTTGTTAACGATCAACAAGTCTGACACAGAATTAAGTAGGGGACGCTGTGTCACTGCCAGGGATTGTCCTGCTGGTCTGTTTTCAACACAGATGTTTTTCATGTTAAGGAGATGTGGGAAACGAGCTAAGTTTTGCTTCAGCTAATTGATGTATCATTGTTAGCGTGATAGTACTAACAAATAAGCTTTAGTAGAAGTAATAAAAATTTAATAAATTGTATCTAACTAATCCCTACAGATGTTCTTGGTCCGTTGAAATGTGTGTGCATCTATTTTTGGCGCACCCGATTCAGCGCTGTTTCGTATTAATACATTTTTAAACTTTTGCTTCGGTGACTTTATCCTCTTTAAATTCTAAGATGCAAGTCGGTGCTTCTCACAGAGACAAGCAAGTAAATGACAAGGTTGTAGGACAATACTTGGAAGCAACCCTGCCACTGAGTGTGTGGCTTATACCCTATCTGATGGCAAAGCATTTTTGTTGTGCATCAGAGTATACTTGGCACCATCTCCCAAACCAGTTTCCAGGATGCAACCGCAATACAATAGCATTTATTTCAAGCAGGATTTCTTTTTTTTTTTTTTAAATAACCCCGTCTTGTCCGTGGTTTTCATGATTTCTTCCTGGAGAGAGGTCAGGACCAGCTCTTGTAATTGGTCTCACTCTGCCACCTCAACCAGGAAGAAGGAATAAAGACAAAGTCTGCTCAGGTACCACCACTGCTCTCAGTGTCCCAGCTCACGGCAGTATTCACGTCCCGAGTGACTTGCACAGCACCAACAGAACCTGCATAACCACCTGGAAGTGCTTGGAATAGACACAGGAGACAAGATAGGAGTCAGAAATCTAAACAGGTATATTTCCCTTCTTTTTTTCCCCCAATACTTTTGTTGCTGCAGGAGAGTGATCACAGAATCACAGAATGCTATGGGGTTGGAAGGGACCTCTGGAGATCATCTAGTCCAACCCCCTGCCAGAGCAGGTCCACCCAGAGCAGGTTGCACAGGAATGTGTCCAGGTGGGTTTTGAATGTCTCCAAAGAAGGAGATTCCACCACCCCTCTGGGCAGCCTGTTCCACCTCTGGAAGAGGCTTCTGCCACCCTCAAAAGGAAAGAAGGTCCTCCTCATGTTTAGATGGAACTTCTTACGTACAAATTCGTGCCCATTTCATCTTGTCCTGTCCCTGGGCACCACTGAAAAAAGACTGGCCCCATCCTTCTGACACCCACCCTTTCAGTATTTTTAAGCATTGATCAGATCCCCTCTCAGCCTTCTCTTCTCCAGACTAAAAAGACTCAAGTCCCTCAGCCTTTCTTTTTAAGAAAGATGCTCCAGGCCCCTCATCATCTTTGTAGCCCTCTGCTGTCCCCTCTCCAACAGTTGCCGGTCCTTTTTGAGCTGGGGAGCCCAGAACTGGACCCAGTGCTCCAGATGGAGCCTCCCCAGGGCAGAGCAGAGAGCGAGGGATGACCTTCCTCCACCTGCTGGTCACACTCTTCCTGATGCACCCCTGATGTAAATGAGAATAAAAAGCTAAACTCAGCTTAAAGCACTGAATCAGAGACAGGGGTCTCTCCCACAGAATCCTGGAAGAGCTGGGGCATGTCAGTGCCACCTGATTTGTGAACATCTTCCCTGTCATCCTGCATCTCACTTTCCAACTTTTAGAAACTGAATAAAGATGCCAGTTAATTAGCAATGATTGCCTTAAACACTGATAAACACTTAACACGTTTAAAGGATTTTTGTGCCCTACCTTCTACTTTGAACAATGTTTTCCTAGTTATTGTACTATAAACCCACTTAAGGTCTTCTCCCATTAATAAGCCTCAAGAGCAAGTGATCCACCTTTCAGTGAGCAATCCTGCTGCAGAATTTGTCTGAAGCTTGAAGAGGGAAATATAACGTACGCAGAGATACAGAGAGAGCTTCCCACAAAGGTATTATTAACTTATATCCCAGGTCAGCAAACACAACACATTACTCATGATCTCTTTGGGTGCACAAAAATCGAATGGCGAGCTCAATGGCCTAAATGTCTCTTTAGGATAAAAATACGTGTGTCCTTTTCTTTCCAGGTTAGGGTTCCTGAGCACTGCTTTGCCCCAACAGGAGCCTAGAAGATAATTTGGAATTTAGACTGGGCATAAACGCAAGTAAAGACTAGTAGCAGGAAAGAAACAAAGGGCTTAAATTAAAGATTTGGGACTGACTAGCATGTAGTACCAAAATGAAAGTGAATTAAACTTATAGGATTGACTTTTATAAAAAAGTGAGGGAGAAGAGACACTTTTGACCAGCAACATCAGAACGAGAAGAGTGACACGGACAAGAAAAACGTGTAGGTGCACAGTTAACATTTTTAGCCAGAAGAGCAACAAAGTGGAGCAGGAATTGCAAATATCAGCATTTTTTTTAAAGCAGGAACCCGGCGAGTTTAGGGACTGAGGAAGGTCTCGACAAAATGGTTCTGAGACGGGGCCCACCATAAGCCGAACCCCGCCTTCCAGCCCCCTGCTCCCCGCCACGGGCTGGACCCTCAGCCCTTTCTCCGCTACAGCTTCGGGGACCACATCCCCGCTCACGGTGACCGTTCCCGGGACCGTTCCCGCCCGCAGCGGCGCCCCCCGAGCCCCCCCGGCCCCACCGTACCTGCCCCGCCGCCACAGCCTCCTCAGGACAGCACGCCGCGCCTCACTTTCAAATCTCACCCGCCAGCGCTCATTGGCCACTCGCGGCCCACCCGCGAGCTCCCATTGGCCCGCTCGGGGCCGACCCGTGATGGGCAGAACCGAAGTGGCGGAGCGGGCCGTTCACCCGTCTCACCGCGCTTCATCCTCACTGGCTGAGCTGAGAATTTCCCTCCTCTCATTGGCCAGCGCGGTGCGGGAGGCGGGGCTTGCCGGGAGGTCATCCCTTGGCGTCCCGCCCGCCGCGGGGGCCGTCGCTCTAAGATGGCGGCGGGGGGAAGCGCCTCAGGCTGGGCCCAGGCTACACCTCAGGCGGCGGCCCAGGCCGTGGGGCCCTCACGGCGGCTCGGGGGCAGGGTGACGGGACCGCGGGCCTCCCGCTGCCCTCCCGGCGCCCAGGCCTATGTCTGTGCCTCAGCGATCGCGCCGTGCTGTCTCCTGAGGGACCGAGGCCGGGTTCACAGGGGCCTGGGGTTGTGCCGAAGTTTGCCGCCCCTCTGCGCCCTCCTGCATCGTACCGAGCCTCCGGTTTGCTGCGGTGGGTTGTGTTTAACGCCGTTCTCCACCTGCCGTACCGTTTGTTCTGTGTTTCTTTCTAAAAAATCCGTGGAGATTCAAATGCTAGGGGAGAGCTCAACCACTTGGTGGCACTGCAAAAATATGGACGGCTTTTGGAAAAAAAAAAACAAAACAAAACCAAAACCACCAAGTGTTTCCAAGCAGGAAAGTGCTGAGCAGCAGGAGTGATGGTCAACGGCGGGGGACAGCCATACCTTGCAAACAGCCTAAAAATGCAGAACCTCCGTGCGGCAGGACAGTAAGATGTGGGTAAATTCTTACATAAACGTGATTACAGTGGATGAAGATAGTAGTAAATGGATTAAAGGCCATTAGTGCAGAGCGGTTCCCCACAGCAATGATGAGTCTTGCGTTTTTGGAGATGTAGCAGTTGGAGAAACGTCACCCCCCCCAGGTTCCCTGTACAGAGTGGAGGGGTTACAGCAACGATTTGGAAATGTCCAAGATCTGGGCTTCTCCTAAAATCATTGATTTACTGTAAGATAATAGGAAATTCCTATGGAGGTTGTTGCCAGGTTCCCCAATGGTATGAAAAAGACCCAATGAAAGAGCAGAAGTCCAGGAGTTTGTATTTGTGGACTCTGCCCACAGAGTCCAATCCAATGCAGTCCTCAGTGCTGGCTGGTTTTGGTTACTCCCCTTTTTCTCCCAAATCAGTGGAATTTGAGGACATTCAGCAGTTCTACCTTGTGATACCATGTCATAGTCCAATGATGTGAGCCATGCTGAACTACTCAGGGGAAAAAATGAGTGCAGGAGTATCTTTCTTCCGGCCAAAAATCATTTTTTCTTCCCATATACCTGCATCTGAAGGATTCCTTCATACTGGAACAATTCTTGTTGGCTGCTCGGAGCATCTAGATTGGGGCATTTGCTAAATTCCCACTCCTGTGGATGTCGATACTGAATTTAGGCTGCACTTCAGCCGGGGCTTTAGTCTCACCAGCTGGAATAACACCATCAGTGATAACGCAGCCACACGCATGTGAGAAACACCAGCTCACATTTAGAATTTAAAGAGGACAAAGTCACTAAAGCAAAGATTAAATATTTGTTATACGAAACAGCGCTGAATCGGGTGAACCAAAAATAGATGCACCTGCGATCTCTCCATTTTTGTATATTTATACCATATCCTGAGTTTCTGTCTCTTATTGGCTGAGAAGTTGGAGCTCACAGTCTTCCCGTCTGCCTGACCTATTACAGGTTTAGTCTGTACTTTTATCATCTAAGGCACACACACCCCTACCCTACGTAATCATTATCCTGAACACGCCCTTGATTAGTTGATTATGCGATGCGTTATTTCACAGTCTTTGCTACCATTTACTGTCCAAGACTGGTTTCTTTGGCCTTATTGATATTCCCCTCCCCTCTGAGTTCCTGTGTCGAAGGCCGTGTTCTGGTCTGTTTCTCTTCACCTAGATAATGCTCTGTGAACAAGGATCCCTCGACAGACCAAGGGCATTTCTGGGGATTAATTGGATAGGCTCTACTATCACTAAGACTCCTTTGTTAGCACAGATACACTAACAAGAATATATCAATTAGCTGAAGCAAAACTTAGCTCATTTCCCACACGCACTTCAGGGCAGATGGGCAAACCGAGTACCTAAATTGGGTCCTTGGCGTGCTCAGGCTGTGCCGTGCAGCGTCACTGGCTGTCACCTGAGCTAGCCAGGTTAAAGCCAGAACAGGTTTCCTTAAAATGCTGCAGGCTGTCGTGGACGGAGTGATTAACTTCACTAGTTAGAGTGAAGCAGTGAAATGTTATTGAGGTGAAACAGTGATTTAACAAAACCAGTAGTAAGTGCGATAAAACCAGTAGTGAACACGATAGTGTTTTACGAGATCCGATGTCAAGGTACACTCTATGATTTACTGCAGAGAGGACAGGGCCAGACAGGCTGTCAGGGAGACCCTCCCATTGAGTCACGATGTTCAGAAAGGTCTTCCTTTGGTTTCTAAACTCCTTCTCAGAGAGGAGTCTGGGTGCAGCTGGATCCAATCCTAGTGCCAGACTTGGTCAATGGTTTATGTCTAAAGGATCATATATGCACAATCAATCCGTTACGTTACTTAGCTAAGATTTCAAAGTTCAGCATGCTGTTAGTCAGTTCCTGAGAATCTGTTGGGGCAAGGAATCTCCCAACCTCAAGGAGTAGAACCTGAGGCAAGCGTCCTCAAAAAGGGGAGATCCTGGCGTGCAGCCACTGCCGTACAGGAGGGCTCAAAGGGCTCTGGGGCTGTCCACTATTTATACAGGAAGATAATTGGCCTGAAGTCATATTCTCATGGCAACAAAATTTCTAGGTCCCCACTCCAGACAGTATTTTGACTATGCTGCCAGCCATCCCCCAAAGTCCGGGTGCAAGTTATCACAGCTGCTGCTGCGATGGCCATGGTGGCCAAGGCCGGGCAGGAGTAAAACAGGGAGAGCACACCACCACAAGGCACACCTTCCACTAACAGGATCTAGGTCACTGCAAGGGTCTTGATGGATTTGAAGAATGCTGTGAATTTGAAAGTATTGCAGTGTCATTTTAGGAAAAAACAGAGTCATTATTTTCAGCCACATTCCTGGCCGCTGCTGATTTTATGGTGTTAAAATGAACAAATACACCACCATTTAATAGAGAGAAACAAGAGATATGAATATAAACTCATTATCCTGTACAGATATTATACATGCCTTAAAGATTAACCAAGTCGTTCTAATACAATCCTGATGATTTTATGATAATATTCCTGCATTTTAGCCACTGAAACTTTGAGAACCAATTTGAATTTATCTATTTCTTGACAGTACAACTATCATTATCGGATACATCTTGTACTGAGGAGATCGTTACGTGGAAATCTGCTAACTTGCTCTTTCTAGTCTTCATTCCTTCACATGGGATATTGTTCTTTCTTATGGTAGTTCTTCCTGCCTCTGCCCAGAGAAGCTGTGGCTGCCCCATCCCTGGAGGGGTTCAAGGCCAGGTTGGAGGGGGCTTGGAGCAACCTGGTCTGGTGGGAGGTGTCCTTGCCCAGGGCAGGGGGGTTGGAATGAGATGGTCTTTAAGGTCCCTTCCAACCCAAATCATTTTATGATTCTATGAAAAATGAACCTTACTGAAGAGTGATATGGAATATGTAGGGAAACCCATCTCCAAATTTAGCCCTGAAATAATTACAAGTCCTGAAGATATTTTCGGTGAAAGTTCAGGCAAATGGAGTTATGAAGCTGTAGCCCACAGTGCCACATACTTGCCACTTGCAGGGAGTCATAGAGAAGCCTCTGTAGGCAAAGTACTGTATGTGGAGCCCAGCACGGCGCTGCAGAGGGCAGAGAGTAATGCTCCTGCCAAATTGAATTGATAACCTCTTAATCAAGTGTGCAGCAAAAGCATTACGGCGCATTGGCTGTCGTTCCCAGTTGCGCTTACGCTTTTCATCTGAAGCGGCTGCTCGTTTAAAAACCAGAACAAATTACAGGAGCAGAAAATAGAAGCTAAATTCCTGCCTTACGACAACTAGGAAGCACGGTTAACGCCTTCTTGCTGCGTTTTCTTGCTCCGTTCTTCGGGTTTCATGTTTTTAAGAGGGGTGTGAGCTAGCCACCCACCGAGCCTCAGCCTGCAGGCTGGGAGGAGGGCATGGCCCCAGCAGGTAGGAGGGAAAGCCATTTGGATCCTCACCAGGATGAGCTCGGAGAGCGTCTTCCCGTTCCTTTGCTCCCCCCACCTGGATTAGCACGTACAACAAATGACAGGCAACAGCCCACGGTGCTCAAAAGAACTCGGCAACTTTGTTCTGTTCCTTCAAAGAGCACTTAGAGATGCCTAAACCCCAGATGTGTGGGCCCGGGATGCTGAGCTGATGGGAACACCTACACGCTGGCCATGCAAAGCACAATCTCCTACATCCTTCTTTTGATGTTTCCTGCAAGCAGGTCCCTCCGCTCCTTAGGTAGGAGGTTCCACTCGCCCTTGGGAGGTGTCTAATGCTGGCTGGTCTATAAATAGAAAAATGAGGTACCCGACTCTGGGTATTATATTGCATTCTGGCAGCCTGACACCTAATAGCTAGATGTTGTAGCACATTTATAAGCTCCCGGCTTTCACTGGAGCTAGTCTAAAATGCAAACTAGCTATCTTGTAATGCAAAGTACAGTTGGAAACAAAGCCAGAGTGGTTTTTCTCTCAGCATATCGTTACATCCCCTGTTATTTACAGTACCTTGCCACCGAATGTTCCCTGCTGTTGGAGATTTCAGTCAAAAACCCGCTCCGGCGGTACAGGTGAAAGCATCCTGCAGCTGGTTTCACCCTCCAGGGCCCTCACATTTCTTTCCAAGCAGGCTCAGACCTTGCTGTTTTTCTTCTCTGGGGAAGAGGGGAAGGAGAATTAACCCAAGAACAAATGCCAGATTCAACCATAAGCCACTGCTGAGTTGAGACCAAACGTTTTGTTGTTTCCAGGGTCTTTGGAGTGGGTCACTTTGGGTGAATTGTACTTTTATCCCCTTTAGCAAAATCAGACGAAGAAACCACTTAGTGTGGTGGTATTAGGTGATGTTTCAGCAGCATTAAGTAGGTTTCTAATAGAGTTAGGCCAGGACCATTGCATTTTCACTTAAAAAGTGCATTCTTTCCCCTACTTTAGACAAGACTTCTCATATTTTTTTATTCTGGGGGCATGGTTGGGTTAAAACCTGTCTGTATATTTTTTTTTTTCTTAGCAGGCCTTTGTGTCTCCATTATCCAGAAGCAGAACATCTCATCTGGAAGTTGGATGCGACTGCTGGAGTTCAGTGTTTCACAGCTAAACAAATACAAAGGTGAGAGTCTGAGGCAAAGCTTTGAGGAATATGACCATGAATTGAGATGGAAACAATAAAAGAGCTCTAACGCCTTGGTTAATCCTGTGTCCTCTGACAGAGCTAAACTTCTCCAGGTCTCAGATAAGATAGGACCCGTTTTCTTTATCTGTTGGGTTTTTTTTTTTAATGTTCAAGGCTACTGAAATGCAAAAGTACCAGATGGCCATGTAAGCTAAACAATGTGCAAAATCTTTCTTATATTATCACTAAATGCCCTGGGGGGGGAGGGGAGGAGGAGAAAGGTTATTTAGTCATTAGGAGTCACTTAGCAGCAAATGGCATTTACTCTTTATCAACTTGCAACAAAAGACTGGGTCTGTACCGTTGGGGGGCCTTTTGCTAATATGACAGGGCACATATTTCAATCCCCTTTAAGTCATCTGGCGATATCTCATGTGTCAGTGTTTGGTACCAGGCAGTAAATAGGTGGGGTTTTTTCATACAGATTTTTTTTCCCCTGGAACACATGAAGCTGCTGCCTCAGCAGCAGCTAAATCCTGGCGTTGTCCTGGGGTTTTGTTACAGTCCAGAGGAGAAAGTACTGGAGGGACGAGGAACTGTAGCTTCTGCTTTCCATCCTGTCACTGAGCTGATATTTGACCTTCAGCAACTCATTTTACCTCTATCTTCCCTCCCATCCTCGCTTCATCTTTGTATTCAGTGGCCATAGTCAACAGGGACTGCGGAGACTTAGGGAAATTCATCTCAGCCATCTGAGACGCCATGTTAATGTGATCCTGTGCCTTGGCTTAATTAGCTCTGCCCTTCGTCAGGACTGCTGCGGCACGGGGCTGTGCTGACACACTTATATTGCTTTTTAGCTCAAGAACGCTCTCAAGGATCTTCTCGCAGTATTGCATTACGTGGAATGAGTGGTGTCTCCACTGCCACCCTCCCGCAGGTCAGAGAAACCAGGCCTTTTCCTTTTGATAGCCCTGCTGTCACCCTGGGTCACCCGTGGTCCCCCATGGAGACCTGCATCCCTCCCCAGTTCCCTCTCAGCAGAAACAAACTGCTGACATCTTTTGAGGAAGGGGGAGGCTCTTCCTCACAGGAACCCCTTAGGCTCAAGCCACCATCTGGTGCCACCACCTAATTCCACCTTTCCCGTCCTCGATACCTTTGGTTTTGGAGGATGTCTTTGGTGCCCATCTCTTTCTCCCTGCAGGCGGAGAGCTTCGCGAGGACAGCACGGAGAAGATGGCCGCGGTGATGCTCGTGTGTGACCAACCACCACCGTGCCTCCTGGGGTACCTCTACACCGGGAACAGCAGCTCGTGTGTCCTCTGCAAGGACATAGATGACGGCAAAGGGTATTTAGTGATTGTGCCGGGGAGGTGACGTTGGCCAAACAAGGCTGGCACCGCGCTGGGGGGGCTCCAGTACCCTGAGGGACTCCCCCTTCACCCCCCCAGTAACCTCCCAGCAGCGCCTTTGGCCCTGTAGCCACAAGTTATGTCCATCTTAAAGCCAGCAGGTCCATCAGATGAGTCTCTCTGGCCTCCCGCAGAGGCCCATAGAGATTTTCAGCCTGTTACCAGCGCGTTAAATCCACTCCTGAGCTGGGAGCTGGCACCCCCTTTGCTTTCGGTGCCACGTTGGGCCCCTCACGGCAACCGGCACTGAGCTCCGGGCCTGGAGACACCGTGGGGGCACCGACACCGAGCTTCCAGCCTGGAGACACCATGGTGGGCACGGCCGCGGGGGCCCCCAGCCCTGGGACTACGGGGGGGCCTCGACCCTGCCTCTCCCCACCGCCGGGCTCTGCCTCCAAACGTCCCCGGCCTTCAACCTGCCGGCCGGGCACCCCCTCAGCGCCCGGCCCGGGCCTGCGGAGAGCCCCGCTGAGGGGAAGGACCGCGGCGGGGAGCCCTGAGGGGAGCCGCGGGCCCTGAGGAGACCCGAGAGGCCCCGAGCCGGGGCCTCCGCGGTGCCCGCCCGGCTCTGCCTGGCGGGGCGGCCGGTGCCTGGCACGGCGCGGGGACGGTCGGCGGTACCGCGGCCCT